ACACACTGGACCTTTAATAAAATATAAAGTCATATAGGCATATGCAGGATAACATTACATTATCACTCATTAGAATGTAAGGATGTTTTGTAAAAGAATGAACCGTGCAGCAGATGTGGGTTAAATCCTTTTCTCTCTTAGCATAGAGCTGCTCATAAAGGTTAGTCGTACACTTCGATGTAAGTGAGAGAGAGCTTGATGAATACTACTACTAAGTCATCAATGAACTCCCACTTTGTATTTTGTAAGTTTGACACCCTGCTGTTGTTCTTAGTTCCAGTTTTCAGTCAATTTTACTTTGATTTAATTGAACCCTTTCAGCCCACTGTTTAGAGTTATAGTCAGTTTTACTCTGTGCGCACACACTGATTGTGTGTGTTTTTCCAGCTCCCATGCCCTGACATCAGACGTAAGCATTGAAGAGACGGCCCGTGCCGCTGAGTTCTTCCTCTCCGACGGACTCATCATCACAGGAACGGCCACTGGGGTGCAGGCTGACCCGTGGGAGCTCAGAGGTACTGCCACAAAAACTCCATACAACCAGGAGCCATATGGTGCTGCAACAAATGCAAATTGAAACTTTGGCATAATTTTAGATAGCAAACTAGGGCTGCATTAGCTATTTTTAAAATTGAGTTGAATGATTCAGCAGTGATATTTTTAATTAATCATCAATCTATAAAATGTTAAACCCACCGTCCAGTCAGAATTCAGTGTTTCTTCCCTACAGTGTGTGTTTGAAGCTGTCCGTGCGTTTGACACTAGAAGGATGTTTTCACATCCATCTGCTGAAAAGTGAAAGTTTCTCTGTGCTATTGAAAATTCTGATTTAAGGGCGCCTACCAGCATGAATCTGTGACATCATCCTGGTCCAGTATGCAACTTGTACAGTGTGATGTAGAAACCTGAAGCCACCAGTGCACATCCACTGAGAATGGACTTCACAGTGAAGGAAGAGACATCTTGTGTCCAGCAGGAAATTAAAATGTGCATATTCATAGATTCTAAAACTATTAATATAGTAGAAGGAGTAGATGTCTTTTTAAGGATTTTAATTTAGAAATAATACTTTTTAAGAAACACATTATTGTTCAAAGCAGACTATACATGTCTTAATCCATGACTGAAAGGGATCTTTAAAAACTTATTGAATTAACAATTAAATAAAACTAAGAAAAGAAAGTAACACCCCAAATTTGAGAGCTGGAGTATATACACTATGTAATTCATTTTAAGTCACTGCCCTGTCTGTCCACTAGAGGACACCCTCACCTGTAGTGACACCCAATGAGAGTTCCTGACAGCAGTGCTCAGTATCCTCTATTGGCCAGGACATTGTAGATTCAGACCAGAGATCAACAGTCACCCAATATGGAACCCCTCTGAAGCTTGCCCGCACTGTGGCTCAGTTTAGGAATGCTGGATATGCGCGCTCACTCTGTCTCTGTCTTTCTCTCTCACACACACACACACCATATACAGTGTTAATGAACATTAGGTAACTAAACAGTTTTGTTGAGTTTAAAAGGCCTCATTGCCTGACCAAATGATTGCTGACTCACTGGTGGTGATCAGCGAGCTTATGCACTCTGAGCAATATACACTTCATTCATTCTGTGTCCCTCCTAGAAGTGAAGGGATGAACAGCCATTCTCATTATTTAACTATTCTACTAGAAACACATACAAGCACACACAGTAAGAGTAACTGTGGTTACTATTGGTGAAGTACCACTGAGTCGTGTTTTATTTGTTACAGCCCTTAATGACGGCTGGAAGTTAAGTTAAGTCTCAGATTCTCAGTGGATGTGCACTGGTGGCTTCAAGTTTCTACATCACACTGTACAAGTTGCACCCTGGACCAGGACTGACTTCCAAACTATTTGTGATGTCACAAATTTCCGAGGAAACACTGCTTATTTGACAGCTATTCTCACTACATATATGATCATGTTAATAAATATAACACAATCTATAAAGTAGTTAAAAAAGGCTATCAACAGACTGCAACATAAAATACTGCTTATATGTCACATGTATTGGTGATAATGATACAGTGATATAACTTGTATAACCAACTTGAATAAGGAGTACCTGCACTTTTGATATGTAAAGGACCAGTTTGTAGGATTTAGCAGGATCTAGCAGTGTAGTTGTAGATCACAACTCTGTCACTTTACTTGGCTGTTCAAAGCCGGAGGGAGAAATTACCATGGCAAGAAATGCGAACATACCTATCTAGAGCCATTTTTGTTTTGTTCCTTGCTATTTTAGAAACATGGATACATAGATCCTCCTAAATGTTACACACTGGACCTTTAAAGCTGCAGTCGGTCATTTTTGTAGAAAAAAAGTTTGTCAATTTTGACTATATCCTGTCAGTAGTACATGAGACAGATAATCTGTGAAACAATCAGGTTCCTCTGTCCTCCTCAGTGGCTCTAATGACATTTGCAATGAGATCCCACCGGGCCGCCTGAACGAAACAAACCAATCAGAGGTGAGAAAGGACGGTGATTGCCGAGTCTTATTGACAGGGCGTCAAATACAGACACTGTGGGACTCTGGGAATGAGACTCAAGAATCAACTATCTTCAAGCCTCCAACCCAGAACACCGTTTTATCTTTCTTGGCTCTGATTGGTTGTTTTCGTCCATGAATGGTGTATTTTTGCAAATCCCATTAGGAGTGCTAGAAACAGAGGAACATGACTTTTTCACTGTCTCTTACTACTACTGTCAAAACACAGAGAAACTTTCATCATTAATGACAAAACATTACCTAAGTTACCTACTGCAGCTTTAAGTAGATTTAGCTAGTATTACTTCTGTACTTTTACTTGAGTAAATTATTAAATGCAGGATGTTTACTTGTTGGATGGAGTAATTCTACCATCATTTGAATACTTTCTTCCATCAGTGGCTTATTCAGTAGCCAAGGAGGCAGGTTTGTATCTGCTGAGGGTCAGTGGATCTGAAGTCTGAACTCTCCAGGGCTGCTATTTTAAGCAGAGTGTCTCCAACGCGACACACAAGACTGTAAACACTTGGGGCCAAACAGGCACACAGCCCTGGATTCTAGCACGCGAGCGAGCTGTCACACATGAGAGCAAACACACACACACAGACACACATCTCTCCTCCTTTCCCTCACACATGCACTCTTTAACAGACACTGGTCAGCCCGACAGAATGATACTGGAGCTTACATGCCGGTGTAGAGTGGCCAAAGTTCACCATGTGAATCATAACCTCTCTTGATTTAATCTTACAGCAGACACTGTGGGTGACATTCATGAACAAACATTTAAAAAAACTGTCTTGTGGATTTGTGTGTATTTTTAAGACCTGGTTACTACTGTTCTGCTGTTTCTTTGCTTTTGCAGAGGTTTCCCAGTCTGTGAAGATCCCAGTGCTCATAGGTTCTGGAGTGACCTATGACAACATTGAACGCTACATGGATGCAAATGGGATGATCATCGGTTCGCATTTCAAGGAGGGTGGCCACTGGGCCAATGCAGTCGACCCGGAGCAAGTGAAGAGGTTCATGGGAAAGAGACGTGACCTTCTAAAATGAGAAACAAAATGAGAGAATGATGTTCAAAGAGGCCATATAATGCTTTTGGAGGCTTTCCCCTTGTATTATATAGATTTGTTGTGCACACCTTGTTTGTACTCAGCCTTTTTTTTATATAGGCTGAATACATGTAGGCTTCATATAGGCTAGGTCATTGGTTTTCAAGCAGAGTGGGTTTTAGGGGGTCCGCAGCATAAAGGGGAATAGAATATTGTAACTTTTATAGCATTTTGTGGAAGTTCGAACAAATGGGGATGGCCATTTTTATTGATTGTAATTGATCCTAGTTTGATTGAATATGAAGACTTTATAATCTTGAAACCTAAAAAAAACAAAAATACTCTGAGGGGATCCCTTAAGTGTATAACATTTAGAAGATCTGAACATCTATATCTGTAATATAGAATATTCATAGTTATGTTTTCATTAGTGTATAAACACCTGGAAATAAGAATTACCATAAGAGTTAGAATTAGCTGTTTTTAATTTACAGAAGTCACCTTTGATGGAGGCTGCCATGTTTCTACAGTAGCCCAGAAGGGACAAACACTTGCTCTAGATTGGGCCGTCTGCATTTTTTGCAGCCACCGTATTTTCTCCTTCTGGCTTGTAAGAAGAGGGTGAAGCAACACTAAATGCCGCTAAATCCTACACACTGGTCCTTTAAGACAAAGCCCTCTCAAATCTGGGGTCTGTGGTCTAATGTGCATCTATAGTGGAGGCCCTTGACATGAAAAGGTTTGGGAACCCCTGGGCTAGGTGACAGTCCCATCCCCCTTGCTCAAGCTCATGGTAGCTAACCAATCAGGGCAGACTGGGCTTCTAAAGGCAGGGCCTTACAGAAAACAGTGTGTCAGACAGAGGGAGAATAGAGGTGCTGCAGCAAGGCCACAGAGAGAAAGAATGAAATGAAGAATGTGTTTTTTGAATACTAAAGCATGTAAATCTATTATAATAAAACCCCAACATAAACCTGAAAATGAATCTAATATGGCCACTTTAATTCCACTGTACAATCACTGTATGTACTGCCACATTTAACACACACAGCCACCACCTTAAGAAAACAAGATTTATTTGCATTTTTTTTTTTTACATTTTATACAAATAGAAAAACATAATATTCAACTGTATTTACATTTGTGAGTCTAAAACAGACCTGCAAAACGGTAGACTCAATACAAACAGTGGTTTTGTAATTATTTCTTACGACTCAGTCAGGAACAAAAGGAACATTTACCTTAAGAAATTCACAGAGCATCGTTATATTTTTGCACAAAATGAATGCTGTACAGGTCGATGTGGTATGAAATTAACTTTAAATACACTCAACAAAAACGTCTAAAGCTAAGGCATGTAATACAATACATACTGAACGCAGCCAGGGAATAACCAATCCAAATGGGCCGTACTCCTACTGCATCATAATTAAGAGCCAAGTATGATTTCAATTTGTCATGTTTGGATCAGTGTAACAACATTCACACACCCTCAGCTTCCTATTAGCTCTACCCCTACTTATATCTAATCAATCTAAACAAGTCAGACAACTCAACTGTTTTCATTCAATAATGTACAAAGGCGTTAATTTGAAAGTTGCTTTCAATACCCGAGGGGCCGACTGGGTCATTCATGATGTCAGGAGATCAAGGGTCATTGTTTTCAGTGGTTTCAGACGTGAGGGTTACAGTGCTGGTTGCCTATATTGAAATCAAGATATAAACTTGTGTTTCTGTGCTTCATTTGGCTGATTTTAAACCATTTTACTGCACAGGAAGTGGTGACATGCCTTGGTGGATATGCAGAATGAACTGTGTGAGGTGAAACAGTGGTAGAAAGCCTGAGTATTTCAAGGCACTGTGCTGCACACTGGGCTATGGTGGCAACTCAACACACCCTCTTTCAAGCAGCTCCGTCCCTCCTGTTCAGTAGCTGTAGAGGCGCTGGCAGGGCTGCTTGAAGTGGCCGTAGCGTCTCTCTGCCGGGGAGAATCGCATCTTGGCCAGGTTCTGCCTGTGGAGGGCGCTGCGGCTCAGCTTCTTCCGCTCGGCCTGGGTCCTGGCCCTCTGGACGGCCAGCAGCTGGATGTTGCAGGGCAGGGGGATTCCCCAGGCTGCCAGACGCCAGGATATATGCCGCCTCACTGCCACTGGCCTAGACAGACACAGGGAGGTGATACAGTGAGTGTTGATGAAATATTAGGTGGAATACAATATGTGATTGTACAGCAGCTCTGGATTATCTTTGTCATAACCAATTTAAGATTTATACCCCAAAGGTTCTGGACTACACTTAATATTAGCTTTAGGATTAAAATGGTGATCTTTGTGCGCCCACCCATTGACTTTATTCATGCAAATACATGTCAGTCATCCCCAAAACCAGTCAACTGGACAGAAATTGTTTGTCAGCTAAGCATGAACGTTAATTCTGGACCTTGAAAACCTCAACCTTGCTTAAGGACTTCTCACCCTTTAAAGGAATAGTTTGACATTTTGGGATCTGATTTGGGTACAGCTACTTAATGATGCCCTTGGTCGTAAAGAAACACAATGGAAGAAACTTCTACGTGGCTGGACAGAAGGCTGAGAGAGCATCTAAGCCAACCTGGCTGGGGTGTGGTGAGAAGTGCTGGAACATTTAATGAAGAGGGGATGTTGCCTGAGGGTGAGCCAGGAGCAGCATTACGGTCGTGTAAAGGTACTAAGATCTTTCTCCAGTTAAACATATGCAGTGGTGGAAAGCCCCTAAAAGGAACTTTTCTTTGTGTTCACTCTGGCGGCCCCTGTGGACAAAAGCGGTAGTGTTTCTACCTCCCCGTTTATGATTTCAAAGGGAATCAGACTAAGAATAGTATAATCCAGAAATAGCCAATCCTCTCACTGATGGTCTTCTGAGTTTATGTAGGTCATATAGAGGCATCAGTATTAAAATGACTGTTTCATAACCAGTTCAACCTCCTCATAGTATGTTTAAATAAATTAGCAGAATACTTGTTCAGCTTTTAGGCAGTGGACTTCAGCTGTTGCAAAGAGGCTCTGTTGCTCTTAGCTCCTATAATAGTCTGTAATAGTTCCAGATCCCAACACAGCAGGAGTACAGTCTAATTAGGCATCATACTGGACTGTGGACTATTGCAGTCACTGTGTTTATGCCACATAAGCTGTTTGGGCTGCTCTTTGGGACTTTTGGGAGATCTTCCCTTATCCTACAAACTGAGTCAGCAGTCAGATCTAAGACTAATGTGTGATGCTGTGTGAGCTGGAGGTAGAGAGTAGAAAGTAACCTTGAGGTGTCCTCTTCGTCTTCATCAGAGCCTTCTTCCTCCTCCTCCTCCTCCTCCTCTGCTCCACTCATCCTGCATCTCATCTGGTAGACAGACATGCTGGGGTGCTCAATCAGCAGGTTCTCCAGGGGATCCGCCTTAGGGGCAGACAGCGGCCCGCTCTCTGTATGAGGAACATCCCAGTTCACATCAGTTTCCACCCCAGTGTAAGCCAAGAAGGTTTTGAAGGATATCGATGTGAATGATGTACTTCTAGCAGTCTGTCTCTCACCTGGGAGGTTAACAATGACCCATCCTCCCTCCTCAAACTCCATCAGCTCCTCGTCCGCTGCCTCAAAGTCCTCGCCAGCGTTCCCAAGCAGGTGAGAAAGAATCTTTCCGATCATCTTTGTGCCTCTGTTGTCTCTCTGTAAATGAACAACAGCAAGTTTCAGCTAACAACATCAAATAAATCCATACTTTGAATGCAAAAGCAAGTTAATCCTCCACCTGAACCTCCTGCCTGCTTGTGACCTTTTGCAAGTCAACAGTGCAAATGGCTCCCCCTAGAGGCTGTCCTCTATGGATACCTATACAGCCTGCTCTGCATCAACAACTGCTTCCATTAGGCCAGCTCAGAAACCTGAGCACACTGGGGTGTTACGTCGCCGTGACGTGGGGACAGTTTAGAAGTAAAACAGCTGAGGGAACACGATGATACAAGAGGCTGGAATTACACTGATTGCAGCAACATTATATAATCTGTGATACTGCCTGTTATGTATCTGGAAAAAGCATACATTATTTTCATACTTTCTAAAGGGAAATTGGCACTACCTGTTGTCATCACTTATAGCTGTTAATGTAACATAACACTGGGGCAGATTTCTTCCACACGGAAACTTGTATTTGTAAGTGCAGCTGAAAAAAACTCATATCATCAATACTGTTTGTTACTCCCTGGTACGGGCTCCCATGTCATTCTTGGGGTAAATGTATTTTTGCCTCTTAATATTACTATTGCATCCTATTAAATATTGCTTAATAAGACTAAAAATGAGAAATGTCACAATAAGTAGTCAAAGACGTTCTTATCACACAGAATGTGAAGGGTTGCAGGTCCAATATTCACTCACAGCTTTATGTCAGCTCATGGTAAAAACAGTTGCACAAGAGCTTGTTTTTCCCAGCTGTTGAAAGTATCCTGAGCTGTATCTCAAAATATACCATGGCTATAATATACCATGATAGATTACATATATAATACACACATTGGCACATTTGTGCTGTTGTTTTAAGACAAACACAGATCCATAAATAGACCGTGTTTGGCCCCAGTGTCTGTCAGCAGACCCCTCCCTGTAAACACAGACAGACTGTACCGAAGGACACTGTCCTCTCACACACAACCCCTGGCTGGCTGTATGCTGCTCAGAGAGAAACAGCTGACTGTGGGCTCAGACTGTAGTGTATTAAGAGCTGCTAGCAGTGGGTGAGTTTGTTCAAGTGAACACTGTAGTCCTCCTCTGAAATACAGAACCGGCGATACTCAGTCCAAATAACAAGCAACGGCTGCAGAGACACATAGGCAAGAAGAGGACTGCAGTCAGAGAACAAAAGACAGATGCGGCCCCAGGCTGATAAAGGCCAGTACTGAGCAGGGACACAGAGTGACGGGCTGACTCACCTGAGCAGTTCCAACGGTGTTTGTGTTCGGGTGTGGCCGGTGTACTGCGAGGATCCCTCTACGCTGCTGTTCTTCACAGATTGTTTTGATCTTGAAGTTGTTTATCGGCAAGAGACCTCCTCACTGTGTCCTGAAACGTCACCAAACCCCGCCCAGCGAGGCGGGGTCAGTTTGCGTCACATGTCAACAGAGCTCCTCTGCGGGGATGAGTGTAGGAAACACATGCACTTGTTGCAAGACTGAACAACAAAGTGTTATTGCTCTGAGAATGCAAAACAATGCAATGGTCACTGAGGGGAACGCCCCTTTTATTTTATCAGACACATTTCATATTCAGAGTCAGTTCTTAACTCAGTTACTTCCCACTGACACTGAACGCTATTTTAAGTCTCTTACATTTGTAACAATAAGAAATGTATGTTAGTAGTTAAAATGTATTCTGAAGTGTTTGTCAACTGATTATTATTTCTTATTGTATTTATTATCTTTATTATTTGACCCTTTGATTCGTCTGGTTTCTAGATTTACTTATTTATTTGTAATCTTTATGAACTGCTATGGTTCACTGTATTTTTTTACCAATACAAAATAAATAAATGTGACAGTGAGACGCTAATGTGGACGGAAATATACCCCGTCTATTTTTATTTATTATTTTGTATTATTTGTGGACCGAGCTCACAGACAGCGGTGAGTAAAGTGTCCTGTGGAGGAATGGTTGCAGAGCCCCGTTCATACTGTACAGAGATAATGCTAATGTCTGCGACACAATGCTTCCACTCCAACACACACTCACTGGAGCTACAGCGTCGAAGGACAGAAGAAAACAGCCTGGAGAAACCTTCGTCTGTGAAAAATAAAAGAAAGGACTTTTTTAAATAGTTAAATTAAAGAAAGAGCGAGTGGACTACGGACAAAGTAGACACACAGTAGCTAACTCAATCTTTATTTTTTAGTTTAAATGTTATCAGAGACCTCTTAAGGTCCAGATGATTCACTTCCTACTTCAAACACTGTTGGTTTGCAAAGTGCGCATGCGCTATACGGAAACGGTTTTACTGTTATAAAACAGAAACACTGCAAAAAGAAAAGAAAAAAAACACTTCTGAAGTTAAGCTTTGACTTCCCGAATAAAAACGAGATAAACCCACAATAATTACCGTCTCAGTTGAACAATTTGAGTCTTGACTCTCCCTTCCTAACTCACAGACACATTGTTTGTGTTTGTGTCGACTTTACTGCGCACAGTAACTTCAGTAGGAAGTATTCAGCACAAACACATAATGGCATTTTATATATCTAGGTGACTTATAGCATTTGTAGCGTTCTAACACAATCACATAGATTGACTTTGTCTGTGTCTACGTATAGTTTGTTGAACATTGTTATCTTGTCTCGATTCTCTGTTATGTACTCCCGGATGTTTCTGTAAAGCAGGAAGTAGAGACCGCCAACAATCCCATCATACAGTGCAAAGATCATAACGTTGGAAGAAAGCCGAACGCATGTGAAGAACTAAAAGTAGCAGTTCGCACATTCGGGAGAGGACGGACGGAAACAGTGAAGGTAATTTGTAACAACTACACAACAATTGGACACTTATGGAGGGAAGGCTGGTGACTGCTGGGTTCTATCTCTTATAACCAGAGACGGAGAGGAGATGAACCCCGGGGGGCTTGAAGCCATGTATTAGAATAGAAACTTCACTTTAAATTGTGTTTGAATGAAAGCATTGATTCAACCTCCTGTCTTTATTGTCATTAAGTTATCTAGACTTTAAAAACACTTCTACTTCTACTACTCATTCTGCCTACTGAGCTTATAATGTGTATTGTTATTGACACTCACACAGTGTAAGAGCAGTACCTGCATCATTTTATTAACAATTCAAATAATGAATGAACACATATTTCATATTGATGAGGGGAGCTTTAAATGCGAGGACATACTGTACATCTACATTATTATTAATGTGTTGCTATGCTGTGTAGTTTATGTTGACCCCAAAGCAAAAGTGAAACTTTATTTACAAGAAACGATGAGGAACTCCCAGAGGAACCTGTTTCTCTGGCTGCATTGTCCCCAGGTAGAACAAGAGCAGGTGTGTTAGGGATGTATCCATACCCTCAATCACGATTCAATACAATTCACAATACCAGGTTCACAATACAATTTTTCACAGTTTTTTAAAAGACAAATAATGGCAGACAAAGATACAGACAAACATCTACTAAATATATTTAGTCTTATATATTCTTTTGCATGGATTCCACGATTGACCATGATGCAATATAACTTCTTGCGGTATCTTTACATTCCCAGCACTTGTACCTCTCTGATACATTGCATCGTCTTGTGATTTGGGCAAAAACTGATTTCTTTGACCCCAAAGTTTGGCAGAAACTTTGGGATTTTAACAAATATTGTAACTCTTTCTAAAGCCTGCCCCAGAAGCTCCAGCAGGGTCCCACTGCATGGAAATGTATTCTGGTCATTTTGGGTTTTATTGCTGATTTGCTATTGGATTTGCCATAATGTACAATGAGCAATCTTAAGGTTTGCCTTTTTGCATTTACCACCCCAATATTTTGGTGGCCAATACTCTGTATAGAAGGGTCTTTTGGTTCCGTAGTTAATAGATATAGATGATAAGATAAAGATAAAGATGGTTTAAACCTCATCTGTGTGGAAGTAAAATTCTGGTGCCTGCAAACTCGTTGGGGCAAAATTAAGGTTTTCTTTCTTAATCCCAAACGAAGCCCAAAGCGGTAGTTCACCACTGGAAAGATTGGTTGTTTTCCATAAAGCTGGACTCTGTGCAGTGGAAAGACGAAAAATAGGGTTTTGAATGGGGTGCCCACATGACCGGAAACAAACCAGGTGCTGTGGGTTATTTCTTCCTTTGGCCTCAAAAAGGGGTTGAAAAAACCTAACAACAACCAAACAATTGGCAACGGGCCACTTAAACGCTTTCTTGGGGCTGGTGGGTGACACCACTGCGGAGGTTGGTGCTTTGGTTCTTGCTTTTCAAGGCAAGGGGAATTAATGGTGGCACGGGTTCTGAAGAATGAGGGCAATGAGAACCAACTGAGTTCATATTTGATCGCACTCATGACCTTCTTCTTCGATCCAACAGGCTGGGAGGACGGATGGGGACACGTAACAAGGCGGAAAGTACGAATCTTGTACTTGGTTGAACAACAGTTCTGGAGCTGACAGGACAAGATGGGGGGGGGGGGGTTGATTTTGCATATACCACCCCACTTGTTTGATGATACAGGGACTAGTTTGGGAGATCTCCAACGGTTCCCTATAAAGGTGTGTCTTTATTTATTTGGCTAGACAGTAAAGCTAACTGTCCTCTCTTTCATACCAGTGTCTCAGCGCAGGGATGGCTCCACGAATTGACGATGTCATGCGTCTGTGCTGTGAGATATCGGCTCATGATCAGATCAAGGTCGCAGTGAAAAACTCCACCAAAGGAGCGCTGGTGGCAGGAGGAACCGCCTTCGTAGGAGGGCTGCTCGGCGGACCTCCGGGGATCGCTGTTGGTAAGAATGAATAACTCGGACTACTGATTCTGACCTCTGTATCTGTGAACTAGACATTACAGCTGCCTGATCAACGGGGGCCACACGGCAAGCCCACACAGGAGATTGTGAGATTTGTAGGGTCCCAAACCTCGAAGGAAAATACAAAACTTTGAGTCAGCTATAGTTCACAGACGAGGCCTTTTGGAGAGCGACTAATACACAAGGACGTATTTAAAGGTGCTGCAAGTGATTCGGTTAAATTAAGTTCTCTTTCTGCAGTAAACGGAATACATTTTATTGGTTCCTGTTCCCACTTCAGGAGAGAGAACTAGTCCTCAACGGCAGGCAGCAGAATTTCAGTGTGGTGACATGGGTCGGAGGGAAGGGGCTACAGAAACGGCAAGAAAGTTAGCCAAAATGCTGATTTCACTTACAGTATATAGTATCAGGTGAATTATTCCAAGAAAGGACATAAGGGTTAAGTATTAAGCCCCCGTCCCCCTAATGACAGGTAGAACAGTGTCTGCTGGGTGCAGGGACACTGGGAGAACACGTTTTCCCGAGCTGAAAGCAACCATGAACGCCAACATGCAGCATGGAGAGGAAGAGAGAGTGAGACGGCTCTTTGATGCTTATGTCACACAGGAGAGGAGCGAATACGCATACATCGTACTTTGATTCAGTGCGACGCTCTAAACTCCCCGAAACACCTCAGCGTGTTCCTGTGGGATAGAGCTGCCTGGCCCTGCCTTACAGGGATAGCTGCTGGGGTCGTATGAGGTACTGGTGTATTAACATCAGTAGACAGGAGTTCTCACAGGGAAGCAGAGCAAAGCACTGCTGAATACAGAATACAGCAGAAAAATCTAATAAAACCACATATAACTCCCACCTTAAAATATCATTGTATCAGGAACATTTCCACTGCTTTATCTTCCCATCAGACAGCCCTTTCCTTTGCCACTGCATTTCCCCAGCCACATGCAAATGGTGTTCTGAATACTCTGGTTCACAAAGGAAGGATGGTTGATTGTTGAGTCTCATTTTCAGGTTGTCAAATACCAACGCTTTGGGAGCCTGGGAATGAGGCTCAACAGTCAATTATCTTTAAACTTCCAAACCAAAGTGTCTTTCTATCTTTCTCTGCTCTGGTTGGTTGTTTTTGTTCAGGTCTGCTGGATTCTTGCAAACACCACTAGGAGCACTAGGAAGAGCCAGAGGAACCAGATTGTTTCACAGATATTTCACAGTCTCATGTACTACTGCAGCTTTAAGACTCTTCATCAGCTGTGTGTTCAGTTGTCTTTGAGGCAGGTTTACTTCATACTCGTACATCCTCAGGTTGGATTGATCCTGAGCCTGTAGCTGACCCTTTATCCCTCTCTGTCACCAGGGGGAGCAGTAGGCGGTCTCTTGGGCAGCTGGATGACCAGCGGGCAGTTCAGGCCTCTGCCTCAGATCCTGATGGAGTTGCCACCTGCCCAGCAAAAGAAGCTCTATAATGACGTTGTGGCCGTCTTAGGCAACCTGGACTGGATGGACGCCGCCCAGCTCATTGCCCTTGTGATGGGTAACGCCACCCTCCAGCAGCAGGTCACTGCAGCGTTGCTCAGCTACATCTCAAAGGAGCTCAGAGCAGAGGTGCGCTATCAAGACTGAGTTATGGTCACATGGACTTTTCAGGATGGTGGGCTTGCCAAACACTACCAGAGGCCTTTACATATTCATATTTTTGTACAGTCATCATATAAACCTCTCTGTGTTACTCAATAGACAGTGATTAGTACAAATGACATTTTGTGTGACAGTGTGCCTGACTTCCCAGCATAAAGGTATTGTCCCTGGGGAGTCATTTTCCTGGATTAGCATAGAACCTCTTTATTCTCACACTCTGTATCAGGGTGTTTTTAATATACCTCTGCTTTAGAATTTCAAAATAAAGGAGGATTTGAAGCTATCATGCTTTTGACTGATTTTTACTTATTTAAAGGTCCAGTGTGTAACATTTTCAGAATCTGAGGTATGTTTTCATTAGTGTATAATCACCAGGAAATAAGAATCATTGTGTTTTAGTTAAGAATTAGCTGTTTTTATCTACAGAGGGAGCAGTCCTTCTATGGAGTCTACAGTCTAGTCTACAGTAGCCCAGAATGGATATACACTGGCCCTAGATGGGGCTTTGTGTGCTTTCCGCAGCCATTGTAGTTTATCCTACAAGTTTTGAATGGGAGGGTGAGGCGAGGGGGTTGTGATCTACAACTACACCGCGAGATGCTACTAAATCCTACACACTGGACCTATAAAGTTCTCAGGATGGTAACATTTTAGAAAAATACACACATCTGTACAATGCAGGTTTTCACAATTGACATTATCATATGGCAGATTATATTTGTTTTACGTCAAAAAATAATCGAAGATCTGAAGTCCACCTACTATCTTTTTGGAGCTTTGATTTGGTTGAAAGCTCCAAAATGACTAGTAAGTGGACTTGTGAACTTAGATAAAATGTGTTACACACCATCCATGATCTGTAACAAATTGTTTTCAAACCGTGTTCAAACATGTTTTTTCTTGAGCCCATAATATATACTGATTTATATATAATTTATATTTATATATTAATATAATTTATCTATTGCCAATTTAGTCAAAATAATGTCCAATGTTTTATTGAGTCCTTTCAGTAAAATGTCATGCAGTGATTTTTATTCAAATAATATGTAGTCTGAGGAAGCATATTACTGCCGGGGAAGATAAGAGATGAAGTCATGCATTATAAAAATACAAATACCTGGTAGGTACCCTGGAATCAAGGCACTGGGTTTGAGTCCAGCCCGGGCCCATTGCTGCCTTTGCTGTCTCTCTACTGTTGCGGTGAAAGTGAAATTCCCCCCCAAAATAGACTCATGTTAAGTTCAAATTTTGACTCTACTTGGCAGCAACTGTGAGTTCCACTTGTGTACTCAACCTCAAAAACACAGATCAGTTCAAAGTAGAAAAGGTGACACAATCAAAGCAACTGATGCCTGTAGAGCTTTACGCTTTATTCAAATGTCATTGCTGTCATGTTTCAGCCACAGATCAGGAACAGTATTCATAAATGTCTTCAATCTGTTCGGCCCCATGCCCTAACCCTTACCACAGACTCTGTATTATTGCCTCCTCATATTGTAACCCTGCCAAAAGCTTTTCCACCCTTATTGCTCACTTGTTTTTCAAGTGATGACCAAGTCAACCGAGAGCACACAGATTTGTGTCAAATTCAACACATGTATGACCCCGAGGCAGGATGCAGGAGACATCCTCTGTGTTGCAATACCAATATTATGACAAGTGTGTAGACGTGACAGCCAATATGGGCTCTTAGAAAAACAACCAACCAACAAAGAAAACTGAACTCTTTGACTCTAGTGATTATTTTGTTAGTATTCCACCACTGCTGCTACATTGAGCCTTTGAAATCAACAAGGTCAAATCGTGATGGTAAAAAAAAAAAATAATTTATTTTGTCATATTTCACTATATCCTGTGAAACAATCAGGTTCCTCTGGCTCCTCCTACTGCTCCTAAAGACATTTGTAAGAATCCACTGAGCCAGAGCCAAGAAAGATATAAAGATGGTTTGGGTTGGACGCTTGAAGATAGTTGAGTTTGAGTCTCATTTCCAGAGCCCCAAAGCATCTGTATTTGACAACATGGGAATCAAATTAGCAATCAACAAATTTTTCTTGGCTCTGATTGGTGGTTTTCGTTCAGGCCCGGTGGATTCTTGCAAATTCCAT